AAGTTGTGGGACTAGTTGCTACATGTGCTGTGGAACAAGTTGCTACATGTCTGTGGAACAAGTTGCTACATGTCTGTGGGACAAGTTGCTACATGTCTGTGGGATAAGTTGTGGGACTAGTTGCTACATGTCTGTGGAACAAGTTGCTACATGTCTGTGGGACAAGTTGCTACATGTCTGTGGGACAAGTTGCTACATGTCTGTGGGATAAGTTGTGGGACTAGTTGCTACATGTCTCTGGAACAAGTTGCTACATGTCTGTGGGACAAGTTGCTACATGTCTGTGGGACAAGTTGCTGCATGTCTGTGGAACAGGTTGCTACATGTTTGTGGAACAAATTGCTACATGTCTGTGGGACAAGTTGCTACATGTCTGTGGAACAAGTTACTACATGTCTTTGGGACAAGTTGCTACATGTCTGTGGGACAAGTTGTGGGACAAGTTGCTACATGTCTGTGGGACAAGTTGTGGGACAAGTTGCTACATGTCTGTGGGACAAGTTGCTACATGTCTGTGGGACAAGTTGCTACATGTCTTTGGGACAAGTTGTGGAAAAAGTTGCTACATGTCTGTTGGACAAGTTGCTACATGTCTGTGGGACAAGTTGCTACATGTCTGTGGGACAAGATGCTACATGTCTGTGGGACAAGTTGCTACATGTCTGTGGGACAAGTTGTGGAAAAAGTTGCTACATGTCTGTTGGACAAGTTGCTACATGTCTTTGGGACAAGTTGCTACATGTCTTTGGGACAAGTTGCTACATGTCTTTGGGACAAGTTGCTACACGTCTGTGGGACAAGTTGCTACACGTCTGTGGGACAAGTTGCTACATGTCCTTGGGACAAGTTGTGGAAAAAGTTGCTGCATGTTTGTGGGACAAGTTGCTACATGTCTGTGGGACAAGTTGTGGAAAAAGTTGCTACATGTCTGTTGGACAAGTTGCTACATGTCTGTGGGACAAGTTGCTACATGTCTGTGGGACAAGTTGCTACATGTCTGTGGGACAAGTTGCTACATGTTTGTGGAACAAATTGCTACATGTCAGTGGGACAAGTTGCTACATGTCTGTGGGACAAGTTGCTACATGTATGTGGGACAAGTTGTGGGACAAGTTGCTACATGTCTGTGGTACAAGTTGCTACATGTCTGTGGGACAAGTTGTGAGACAAGTTGCTACATGTCTGTGGGACAAGTTGTGGGACAAGTTGCTACATGTCTGTGGGACAAGTTGCTACATGTCTTTGGGACAAGTTGCTACATGTCTTTGGGACAAGTTACTACATGTCTGTGGGACAAGTTGCTACATGTCTTTGGGACAAGTTGTGGAACAAGTTGCTGCATGTCTGTGGGACAAGTTGTGAGACAAGTTGCTACATGTCTGTGGGACAAGTTGCTACATGTCTGTGGGACAAGTTGTGAGACAAGTTGCTACATGTCTGTGGGACAAGTTGTGGGACAAGTTGCTACATGTCTGTGGGACAAGTTGTGGGACAAGTTGCTACATGTCTGTGGGACAAGTTGCTACATGTCTGTGGGACAAGTTGCTACATGTCTGTGGGACAAGTTGCTACATGTCTGTGGGACAAGTTGTGGGACAAGTTGCTGCATGTCTGTGAGACAAGTTGCTACATGTCTGTGGGACAAGTTGTGGGACAAGTTGCTACATGTCTGTGGGACAAGTTGCTACATGTCTGTGGGACAAGTTGCTACATGTCTGTGGGACAAGTTGCTACATGTCTGTGGGACAAGTTGTGGAACAAGTTGCTGCATGTCTGTGGGACAAGTTGCTACATGTCTGTGGGACAAGTTGTGGGACAAGTTGCTACATGTCTGTGGGACAAGTTGCTACATGTCTTTGGGACAAGTTACTACATGTCTGTGGGACAAGTTGCTACATGTCTTTGGGACAAGTTGTGGAACAAGTTGCTGCATGTCTGTGGGACAAGTTGCTACATGTCTGTGGGACAAGTTGCTACATGTCTTTGGGACAAGTTGTGGAACAAGTTGCTGCATGTCTGTGGGACAAGTTGCTACATGTCTGTGGGACAAGTTGCTACATGTCTGTGGGACAAGTTGCTACATGTATGTGGGACAAGTTGTGGGACAAGTTGCTACATGTCTGTGGGACAAGTTGCTACATGTCTTTGGGACAAGTTGTGGAACAAGTTGCTGCATGTCTGTGGGACAAGTTACTACATGTCTGTGGGACAAGTTGCTACATGTCTGTGGGACAAGTTGTGAGACAAGTTGCTACATGTCTGTGGGACAAGTTGCTACATGTCTGTGGGACAAGTTGTGGAACAAGTTGCTGCATGTCTGTGGGACAAGTTGCTACATGTCTGTGGGACAAGTTGCTACATGTCTTTGGGACAAGTTGTGGAACAAGTTGCTGCATGTCTGTGGGACAAGTTGCTACATGTCTGTGGGACAAGTTGCTACATGTCTGTGGGACAAGTTGCTACATGTATGTGGGACAAGTTGTGGGACAAGTTGCTACATGTCTGTGGGACAAGTTGTGAGACAAGTTGCTACATGTCTGTGGGACAAGTTGTGGGACAAGTTGCTACATGTCTTTGGGACAAGTTACTACATGTCTGTGGGACAAGTTGCTACATGTCTTTGGGACAAGTTGTGGAACAAGTTGCTGCATGTCTGTGGGACAAGTTGCTACATGTCTGTGGGACAAGTTGCTACATGTCTTTGGGACAAGTTGTGGAACAAGTTGCTGCATGTCTGTGGGACAAGTTGCTACATGTCTGTGGGACAAGTTGCTACATGTCTGTGGGACAAGTTGCTACATGTCTGTGGGACAAGTTGCTACATGTCTTTGGGACAAGTTTTGGGACAAGTTGCTGCATGTCTGTGGGACAAGTTGTGGGACAAGTTGCTACATGTCTGTGGGACAAGTTGCTACATGTATGTGGGACAAGTTGTGGGACAAGTTGCTACATGTCTGTGGGACAAGTTGCTACATGTCTTTGGGACAAGTTGTGGAACAAGTTGCTGCATGTCTGTGGGACAAGTTGCTACATGTCTGTGGGACAAGTTGTGGGACAAGTTGCTACATGTCTGTGGGACAAGTTGCTACATGTCTGTGGGACAAGTTGTGGAACAAGTTGCTGCATGTCTGTGGGACAAGTTGCTTCATGTCTGTGGGACAAGTTGCTACATGTCTGTGGGACAAGTTGCTACATGTCTGTGGGACAAGTTGCTACATGTCTTTGGGACAAGTTGTGGAACAAGTTGCTACATGTCTGTGGGACAAGTTGCTACATGTCTGTGGGACAAGTTGTGGAACAAGTTGCTGCATGTCTGTGGGACAAGTTGCTTCATGTCTGTGGGACAAGTTGCTACATGTCTGTGGGACAAGTTGCTACATGTCTGTGGGACAAGTTGCTACATGTCTGTGGGACAAGTTGTGGGACAAGTTGCTACATGTCTGTGGGACAAGTTGCTACATGTCTTTGGGACAAGTTGTGGAACAAGTTGCTGCATGTTTGTGGGACAAGTTGCTACATGTCTGTGGGACAAGTTACTATAGTATTTTATGAAATAATCTGGGAGCTGTAAAACACTCCAAACACACACATATTCATTTCCGAAAGGCCGACACCAAAAGTTCCATTGGACATAAGGCAACAGGCAGACACGCAAAAGGCAGACAAACATTATAAATAGGAACCGGAAAGTGCAATAGAGGAGACGTTGCTATGGAGGGAGAGTTGGTCATTTACACAAGTCGTAGTGACGTCACTAAGTACAAAAAATTGAAAGAAACCGAATGACGTAGACCTATCACGTAACCGGACTACATATTCAATGCAGACACAATTTGAATTACATTCCAGGAAAAGTGAGAGTTGAGATGCAGGCAATTATTGCTTGGTGAGCCATAAAAATAAACGGTTGCAGAAAGAGGACAGGATAGCAAATGTAATTGCTGAACGTGAAAAAGGAAATAGACTTGAATTTTACATGGCATAGCATACACTTTATCCTACTAGGCCCTATTTATTAATATGTTATACTATCACTTTTTCATTAAGTAACTGTATTTTTTACTAACGGCTGAACACGCCTGTAATTGTAGTTTGTTGTTTTACTAACGACTGAACATGTCTCTAATTGTAGTCTGTTGTTTTACTAACGACTGAACATATCTCTAATTGTAGTTTGTTGTTTTTCTAACGACTGAACATGTCTCTAATTGTAGTTTGTTGGTTTACTAAACTTTTGGCCCCTTTCTCGGACTTTCAGATGTCGGCCTTTTATCAGGATCGGTCTTTTGTCCGGATCGGCCTTTTGAACACATGAACACACTATACACATTCATAATTACACACATGCACATACATTATTACACACATACACAGATATATTTACACTTATACACATACATAATATAGGCTACATATGTACATCCATTATTTCACACTTTCACTTAATTAAACATATACACATATATAATTACATACATAGACTTACATTATTACACACATACATAATTACACACATACATAATTACACACATATGGACCAGTATACGTGTAGCATTGTACAGCTCTCTTGACCCAGAACACACTCAAACACACGAGTTAACAATTTACACGCACACATACACAATTTCACCACCACACATTAGCGATCACCTACACATGAACATAAGTAAAAAATATGCAACTACACACACCCATAGCGCCACATCGCTGCCACGAATACGCCCATAGCCCCACATCAACACATCAACCTTATCAATACATCAACACATCAACACATCGACACATCAACACATCAACACATCAACACATCAACACATCAACACATCAACATATCAACACTCCACACATCAACACATCAACACATCACCACATCACCACATCAACACATCAACACATCAACACATCGACACATCAACCACACATAAACACTCCAGACAAACACATAAATACCTCACAACCACACAACCACACAGAAACACACAAACACGGCCCCCACAAACCTGGACTGCTATCTCCAGCTTCTGTAGCTCATGATCAATTCCACCGCTTCTATTGGTCCCATTCCCATCGGAACTGCTTAACTCGACAGTGTCATTGACCGTCTTAAATAGGTCCACGTCATATCCGGGCATAGAGTTGGTCTCAATTTCAATGACAGCTTGTCTGGTGGGTGGCATCAGGACTAGGGCGTCCTGGGCGCTGATGTTTAGTTCTAGTGCCATGGTGGGGGTGGGGTGGGGGCGGGATTGGAGGAGCCTGTCTCAGATATTTAGGTGACGTCACTTGTGTCTCCTGTTATATTGTGTCTCCTGTTATATTGTGTCTCCTGTTATATTGTGTCTCCTGTTATATTTGTTGGATGTACATCTTTAGTGTATCTGAAATAAACAATATTAGATTTGTCATGACGTCATTATACTTGTTTTATTAGACTAAGTACGTCATATGGAGCACGTAGGACACGACATATACTACAACGTCCAATGAACCACTACAGCTACAATGCCTACAACGACGTCTACCCACCAGTTACATTATACTCACTACTACTGTCTATACAGATGTATGCCACTAACAATATTTTCATTTATACAAAGTTGAAATTTGATCTAATAAAAAATTAATTAAAGTTAGACCAATAGATAATGTGTTATAGAGAATCACCAAATCCGCTGAACAAAATAGAATTAATTATTGACTTCAGCTGGTGGCATCATTTCATTCTATTTACATTTCCAAATGAAAGAAAAAAGTCTTGATTTAACTTATTTGGTTCGTAATTGTTGATATATTGTAGAGATGATGTAAAGACGGTGTATAAATGACGTTGTAAAGATGATGTAAAGACGTTATATCAATGACGTTGTAAAGATGACGTAAAGGAACGAAAGAAAAGCGCACAGCAACATCCGACTTTTGCCTTGATGGTGATGGGTGCTTGTTTCTCACACTTTTGTTTACAGGAATAATTGATGACTGACACAGATCTGTTGATGGAAGATCATGAATGACACAATCTGTTGATGGAAGATCATGAATGACACAGATCTGTTGATGGAAGATCATGAATGACACAATCTGTTGATGGAAGATCATGAATGACACAATCTGTTGATGGAAGATCATGAATGACACAGATCTGTTGATGGAAGATCATGAATGACACAATCTGTTGATGGAAGATCATGAATGACACAGATCTGTTGATAGAAGATCATGAATGACACAGATCTATTGCTGAAGATCACGAATGGTCCTTTATTGAAGTAACTACTGCTACTACTGCCATGATACATGAATGTTGGTACATATTTATAAATATCGACCTTTGGCAGGTCCTAGTTCAATTTATCCTGGAAGATAACCTGTGACTTATGCATTATGCCATGTATTACATATTTTTAATATCCACTTGGAAAGTGTATTTAGTTTTATACTGAATGTTTACAATAATATTGTATGTAATGAGTATCATTTTTGTAAGGTTGTTACCTTAATGACATATCTACTTTGTAGATTGATACCTTTGTTTTAAAGGTTGGCTTTTTTTGCACACGTGTCATTGTTATGTAGCACTTGCTGTATTAGTTTTGATAGCTTGTGGTACTTTTTCTGTACTTCATGAAAATATTTCTCAATACTTACGTTAGTTATTGGCTTTCATGTTACTTCAACTCACTAGAATTTAGAAACCACTGTTTCACTGGTTAAAAGGTTTTGAGTAAAATTACTTTTCATATAATTTTGGAATTACCGGTGGGACCGTGGGGGGTGTAGTGAACCAGTGGGGGAATGGTGGTGAATTTTGTTTGTACTCCCATTCGTTCCTGTTCAGTTCTCGTGCTGTGAGTTGTAATAGTCCGGTTTGTGCCAGTTTATGAAATGGTATATAAGGTGTGGGAAAACGTGGGTGACGGCCTCAGTTTCGCCCAGATCTCCAAGGTTAGTACAGGTTAGGTTTATACTCGTTTTTAGCCACTGTATCGTAGTTTTACTAGCTTTTTGTATTTTTACTTTCTCGTAGACAAACACAGATCAAAACATAGTTCAAAAACAAACACAGATCAAAAGAAACACTGTTCAAAACACAGTTCAAAACACAGTTCAAAACAAACACTGTTCAAAACACAGTTCAAAACAAACACTGTTCAAAACACAGTTCAAAACAAACACTGTTCAAAACACAGTTCAAAACACAGTTCAAAACAAACACTGTTCAAAACACAGTTCAAAACAAACACTGTTCAAAACACAGTTCAAAACACAGTTCAAAACAGATAAAAACACAGTTCAAAACACAGGTCAAAACAAACATAGTTCAAAACAAACAAAGATAAAAAAAAAAACAGTTCAAAACACAGTTCAAAACACGGATTAAAACAAACAAAATTGGAAACACGGTTTAAACTTGGCAATGTATGACATAATGGCTGGCATTGAAGTCGTTGTGCTGACTGGCTATGACGTATTCATCCCATATTTGTTTAATTGTACACAAGCTAACAGCTAAAGGGTAGCCGTGTTTACTTCAGTTATGACAAGTGTGTTTAGCTCTCCAGATTCTACTCGGCCTTTCAGGGTGAGTACTGTATTGAAATACTAATGAGTGTTTGCTTTTCATGGGCTAATGGCTGTCCTTGTATGATGATCAGAAAGCGAAAGCTAAGTGGGTTGGCGAGGGCACAAAACTAACGCTGGTTAATAACTGTAAGATCGGTACAGGAGGTGTCATCGATTGAGATCGATATTCGTCTACTGATATATTTACTATTGGATTTAACAAGTGACATACAATCTACGGGGTTAGACGCTCAATAATATCCTTAGAGGCCCCAGTGGCCAGATCGACAGAATCACATATATGCGGGATAGGGTAGCTGAGATAGACCAGACACCAGCCGGAGTTTAGTACTAGAGGAGGGCGCTAACCCGTCGTACAAGAAAGCAAGTGTTTTACCATGCAGTTTTTCATTGGTCTTTACCCAACACATACAGAAATATTGGTTGACAAAGCGAGGAGTTTCATTCAGTGTTTCTTTCAGGCATCTCTTCGGGGTCTTCCACCCCTCCAATCACTTCCCTCACCATTCCAATCACTTCCCTCCCCCTCCAATCACTTCCCTCCCCCTACCATCTCACATCACTTCCCTCCCCCTTCCATCTCACATCACTTCCCTCCCCCTACCATCTCACATCACTTCCCTCCCCCTACCATCTCACATCACTTCCCTCCCCCTTCCATCTCACATCACTTCCCTCCCCCTTCCATCTCACATCACTTCCCTCCCCCTTCCATCTCACATCCATTCCCCCCCTCCAATCACTTCCCTCCCCCAATCCCTTCCCTCCCCCTCCAATCCCTTCCCTCCCCCTCCAATCCCTTCCCTCCCCCTCCAATCCCTTCCCCCCTCCAATCACTTCCCTCCCCCTCCAATCCCTTCCCTCCCCCTCCAATCCCTTCCCTCCCCCTCCAATCCCTTCCCCCCTCCAATCCCTTCCCTCCCCCTCCAATCCCTTCCCCCCTCCAATCACTTCCCTCCCCCTCCAATCCCTTCCCTCCCCCTCCAATCCCTTCCCTCCCCCTCCAATCCCTTCCCCCCTCCAATCCCTTCCCTCCCCCTCCAATCCCTTCCCCCCTCCAATCCCTTCCCTCCCCCTCCAATCCCTTCCCCCCTCCAATCCCTTCCCTCCCCCTCCAATCCCTTCCCCCCTCCAATCACTTCCCTCCCCCTCCAATCCCTTCCCTCCCCCTCCAATCCCTTCCCTCCCCCTCCAATCCCTTCCCCCCTCCAATCACTTCCCTCCCCCAATCACTTCCCTCTCCCCCAATCACTTCCCTCCTCTTTAATCTCACAGCACTTCTCCCCCTTCAATCACTTCCCTCCCCCTTCCATCTCACATCACTTCCCTCACCCTCCAATCACTTCCCTCCCCCTCAATCACTTCCTCCCCCCAATCACTTCCCTCCTCTCCAATCTCACATCACTTCCCCCCCTCCAATCACTTCCCTCACCCCTCCAATCACTTCCCTCCCTCTCAATCACTTCCCTCCCCCTTCCATCTCACATCACTCCCCCCCCCTCCAATCACTTCCCTCACCCCTCCAATCACTTCCCTCCCCCTTCCATCTCACATCACTTCCCTCCCCCTTCCATCTCACATCACTTCCCTCCCCCTTCCATCTCACTTCACTTCCCTCCCCATCCAATCACTTCCCTCCCCCCAATCACTTCCCTCCTCTTCAATCTCACATCACTTCCCTCCCCCTCCAATCACTTCCCTCCCCCTTCCATCTCACATCACTTCCCTTCCCCTCCAATCACTTCCCTCCCCCTTCCATCTCACATCACTCCCCCCCCTCCAATCACTTCCCTCCCCCTTCCATCTTCAATCACTTCCCTCCCCCTCCAATCACTTCCCTCCCCCTCCAATCACTTACCTCCCCCTCCAATCACTTCCCTCACCCATCCAATCACTTCCCTCCCCCTCCAATCACTTCCCTCACCCCTCCAATCACTTCCCTCCCCCTCCAGTCACTTCCCTCCCCCTTCCATCTTCAATCACTTCCCTCCCCCTCCAATCACTTCCCTCACCCCTCCAATCACTTCCCTCCCCCTCCAATCACTTCCCTCCCATTCCTCAGATTGAGGAAGTCTACATTGAAATCTTGTCGAGCGTGCAATGAGAAAATGGGAGAGGGGGGGGGGGGCGACGACACACGGGGGTGAGGGGATATGGGTTGGGGAGGGGGGAGTCTCGAGTAGTCGACTCCAGTTAGCTCCCACACAGTGAGATATTTTTTCCCCTTCCATTTTTTTCTTTCTGCTTTTCCACTTAATCGTCTGTAAAACTTGCTCAGTGTTGTGGTGGGGCATTTAGGGTTATTTCAGAGGTGTTCTGTCTATGGCCTTAAAACATCTCCCCCAATATATCCCACACTACACCTCCCCACTATACCTCCCACACTACACCTCCCCCACTACACCTCCCCCACTACATCTACCTCACTACATCTCCCCCACTACATCTACCTCACTACATCTACCTCACTACATCTCCCCCACTACATCTACCTCACTACATCTCCCCCACTACATCTCCCCCACTACATCTACCTCACTACATCTACCTCACTACATCTACCTCACTACATCTACCCCACTACATCTCCCCCACTACATCTACCCACTACATCTACCCCACTACATCTCCCCCACTACATCTCCCCCACTACATCTACCCCACTACATCTACCTCACTACATCTACCTCACTACATCTACCTCACTACATCTACCTCACTACATCTACCTCACTACATCTACCTCACTACATCTACCCCACTACATCTGCCTCACTACATCTACCTCACTACATCT